AATTTCTCTTGCCAGGGAGAGAAATGGGATGAGATGGCCGTGAGCCATCATAGGAAGCATCAATATATGCTCGTTGGAAGAAGAACCCTCCATCGACGTCGGCGGCTGAGGTTTGGAGTACCGTTTTTTGACGTCTGTGTGGATAGAAAAAAGAATACAAATTGCGATTTGAATTCATCATCGCTGCTTGAATATTTATGGAGGATACGTCAGTGGACAGTGGCGTTGGTGTGGGTTTTGCATGGAGGGCAACGTGGTGGATGAAGGTGCTGCCAAGTTAAAGCTGAGTTGTCTTTTCCTTTTGGAAAATGCTCGGGGGGCCGAGGGGGTTGTCATTTTTTCACTTAGAAAATGCTTGAATAAAATTAAAATATGATTAAATGTAAATTTTAGTCCCTCATTATTAATATTTTATATAATTTTTATTTTTTAATTTTTTATATATTTTTTAAGTCATTTAAGTTAAAGTACATTTATTATAGTTGAGAAAAAAAAAGTATATAAAAAATTAAGAGATGAATAATGTATAAAATTTTAAAGTTGAGGATCAAAATTAACATTTAACCTTAAAATAAAACATTCCAAAAAAGAAAAAACATTAATAACTTGGTTTAATGCTAATTTTGCTTTTTCAACTTTAGAGTTTTGACATAGTTTTCATTTCTCAACTTTTTTACACACTTTTTTTTATCCCACAACCATGACAAATATACTTTTTTAGTTATTCAATCACTTAATTGTTAAGTTTGTTTAAATATATGCATTTTTATTTCTTCAACTTATAAGTTTGAGAACTAAAAATGTATATATATAAATAGTTTAACGAACTAATTGAAAAAAAAATTAAAAAATGTGTATGTTTCATAATTAATAGACAAAAAAATATAAAAAAAAATTAAGAAACTAAAATTGTACAAAACTATAAAGTTAAGGAGTCAAATTTAACATGTAACCTAATAACTTTAGAAAATTATTAGGTGTGACAATTAAATTTAGACAATCTTATATGGCAAGTGTAACAAATAAATTTAGAAAATTTTATATAATAAATGTGATAACTAAAACATGAATGATGAAAATACAATACTTAAAATTCCTTTTTTTTTTTTGGCAATAAT